GTCCTCCTCCACCCCGCCATCTCTCTTCTATCCACAACACCTCAGTCACTCACTCACTCACTGAGTGTGTCGCATATATGCCTTGATGTCAGATGTGGTGGGCATTCCTGTCTCCTCTGAGCATACTGTAGATGTGGGTAGTGTACTGTACACCATATGAGCCATGATGTTGACTAACTGTTGTGTGTTATTTACAGGGTATGCCTGATCGCATGTTATGTGCAGTGCTGGAGCAATTTCAGCTTTACTTTTCCCTTTGGTATGTGCGCTTTGTCTCCATTCAGAGTCATTTCTTCTTGTGTTCTTATGTTGAAACGGCCTGTACACGTTTCTTTTTTCTACATACACACATGCACACACACAAACACGGTATGCACGGGTAAAAAAAAAAAACCAACGTTGGCACAGCTTAATCTACTGGGCGCCTCTTTTCCCCCCGAGTGGTAAGTGACTGGAGCTGTTCCAATGTGAATACACTCGTCCTGTGTTCCATGTGTGCTACGTTGTGTATCACGGTGGCCATTCAACAATGCAACACATGTTTGGTTTTTCTGTTCTGGCCATTCAAGTCAGGGTACTTTATTTTTGCTGAATATGTCTGGCAGTGATTACATCCCAAGGCCAAGATTGATACACGGCTTATTTAATACATTAATACTATGAATATTGGATAACCCACAGTAGATTTTGTCCAGTCAGCCATATGTTAAGAAGTGCACTGGTATTTTTCTAAAGTCAGTTGCTGTTAATATGGCCATATATGACAGGCCAAGGGCCTCTTTGCTGCGTTAAGTACACCTAAAACTTATTTATTTAGATTTATGTTCCACATGATTGGAGTTACAATCAGTGGATCACCCCAATGCCCAGACTTGGATGCAGCCAGAGTGTTTCTCCTGTTCCGCGTTGAGCTTTGTTCACCGCGTGGTCTCCCCGCCTCCCTCTCTCTGTCAGATCCACTCTCTGTATAGCACAGCGAGCCCCAGCATGCTGAAAAGGAAACAGAGCTCACGGGTCGAGGCCCAGCCCATGACTGACTTTGGGCCAGACGAGACCCTCGCAGACAGCGCCGACATCTTCTGGATCAACAAACCAGTGAGTTTGCCACAAAACTATCTCCGTCCTCTTCAAGCCACACGTTTCCGTTATTTTGAAGTCAGCTGGACAGCGTAGAATGTGAAAGAACTATTATGGCGGCCTTTGCCTTCTTTTTGTCTCCTGCAGTGGGTGCACACTCTGCTGCGGGCCTGCGCCATCATCAGTGTCATCTCCGTGTGCATGAACACCCCAAAGACATTCGAGCACTACCCTCCGTTGCAGTACGTGACCTTCACGCTGGACACGCTGCTCATGTTCCTCTACACCGCCGAGATGATCGCCAAGATGCACATCCGAGGGATCATCAAGGTAGCTGTCGAGAGAGTCGCGCGGTCACGGGACGCACGTTAACAAAATCAAGTTAACAAGATTATACGGTTTTTAGACTATAAAATGCCAACAAAGGAAACAGGAAATGCATTGAACTAAAGAGGGAAAATGCAGTTTCATTGCATTTTGGAAGCTACGCTGTGACACATGAAGTCCTTCTAGGTTATTGGAAGAATTTTATTAGAAAATTTAGTTGTTGTTTTTTCTTATTTTTTAAATTTTATTTATTGTTTTCCATTCTGTCCAGAATATTGGAGTATTGGACTGATTAGTTTATGTGCATATAACCAGAACACAGTGGAGGCAACCTTCCCGTTACCGGTCCAGTCAAACAACATGGGAACACTGAAGTACACCGTTTCATTTTTGACATAACCGCTTCGCCAGTTTTTGCTAAATGTAAGTGGAATTAGGTAACAGCCACTTGACACCTGACCGACTGCATGCTGGTCCATCAGCCCTTTTGTGTTGCGTCAGATTTCAGTCAGGCTTTAGAAAGGCAACCTCACTGGTTGCATCGACCTGTACGTTCAGATAAATCGACACGATTAAAGAAGAATCTGAGGTAGACAGATTATGTTCTTTCGAAGCATCCAGGAACGGACAGCTGGCAGATGAAAGGCCCGTAATTACTGCCATAAAATGTGTAGACAGCTTAAATGGCAAATCAAGGATAATAAGCAGAGAGGCACCGGAGGACACCTGTGCAGGGAAACTGCATGACAACTGGAACATTTCGTGTATATATATATATATATATATATATGTGTATATATGTATATGTATATGTATATATGTATATGTATATGTGTATATATATATATATATGTATATGTGTATATATATGTAT